AATATCCGAGTTGATATATCACAGTACATTATGATGCTTCTTTATTACAAACGAATCTTTCGTAATATAAGGTTAGAACCAGAACTTATGCATGTCTGCAGTGTATCGTTCAACTTCAAATACGCACTTAGGAGGATTAACAAGTACTCCATATTTCTTAAGACAATTAATTAATTCTACATATTTGATGTGCTCTTCATTTGAAGAGGATGCTGCCAGAATTTCCTTTGTGTAAACAACAGAAATCAAGCCGTGTAACACTTAGTTCATTAAACGTTGAAATGTATGCAACGCGTTTCGCAGTCCGAACGTCATTTATGGAAATTCGTATAATCCAAAGGTTGTTATTGCACTTTTTGTTGTCTTCTGTGGTCCTGGAGTCTGATTACGTCTATTAGTAGAATTGGATACCAATCGGGTAGGGTACCAGCATTTAAGGCTCGGTAATCCCCAACGGGTCCCCACTCCAAATGTTTCCTTGAGTAGCATGCGTAGTGGTGATGACTAACTACTATCCCATGTTTACGTAAGCCTCATTTGAAGCATTGTCTAAAACTCTTTCTTTACAATGTTACCACTTTGAGACAAATTGTATAAATAAATATCTAAACCTCAGAACAAAACGGACGTAAGTCCAAAAACTGCGATTTTCATGTTATTAATGGTGTTTACGTAGATTTTCATTCCCGATCGGGTCATAACAATGAATATTGTTTAAAAATTTATCATTTTTTATAAGGTATGGTTATAAGAGCGTAAGTCTTAACCCTTATTTGAACCAAATGAACATAAATTCACTTAATACCTAATGGCTCTGAAGTTTTACCCAATACACCCATTACCCATAAAACGAAAAAGAGACGGCACAAGAAAAAGCAAAACCGGAGCCATACATTTATTTTTAATTTAAATAATAAGCAAGAAGTCGTTTGCAAAACTTTTGTTTTAACACACTTTCGATTTCTGAAACATTTATGAGAGTTGCTTTAAAAAAGGCCGTGAGTCTGGTTTGATAACACTAGATCTTAGAGGAAAACATACCCCAGTAAATAAATTGCCAACTGAAAGGTTAGAACGGATCAAAAACCATATTTCTAAGTTCCCAGTTTATAAAAGCCTCTACAGCAGATTAAGATCCTAGCGCAGATGGGGAATCACCTGAACATTTCCACAATGTAGTCAGTATATGTAGATGAGTGCCAACAAGAAAATATTAAACCAGGAAAAAAGTGCGTTTATTCTAAGGTTTTCAATGAACATTTCAGCTTGTCTTTCCACTTACCAGACTGACACTTGTGATGTTTACGATAAACTGCATGTGAAATTAAAAATGAAGAAAAACTCATTGATCTTAAACTACGAAAGAAAAACCACCTATAAGATGCTTCACTTAGGTATAACTTAATAAGAGAGGATAAACTTGAAGCTCGTGCTAATCAAGGTTTCAGAGTCATTATGTCTGATCTCCAAAAATGTTTTCCAACGCCTGATTTAAAGAATTCCCAAGGTTTTTACTCAAGAAAGCTTTGCACATTAAATAGTACAATTTATGACACAATCGTTGACAAAACTTGGTGTATAATGTGGGATGAGGTTACAGCCGGTCGAGGAGGTAACGAAATAGCATCATGTTTATTCACTTGGGCGATGGAAGAACTTTGAAACAATGATAGATCTACTGAAAAGTTAACAGTGTGGACAGATAATTGCAGTGGCCAAAATAGGAATATTAATATGGTATTCATGTATCTATGGCTGTTAGAGGAAGTATCGACCCTAGAAGAAGTCAATCATAAATTTCTACTTGCTAGAGACACACACACATATGGAAGTAGATGTCAAGCATAGAGTGATAGAGAGGGCGAAGAAAAAACTAAAAAGTCACACTATTTTTACAACAAATTATTGAGCAACTTTATTTCTTCGGTCTCAAAAAATGACCCCACTATTTTGAGGAGGATGGACCTAGAAGAGTTTCTAGATTTCCTTTAGTTAAGAAGCAAGCAAGTACCATTTGTTGCAAGAAAGACAAACACAGACAAGAAACCATTTTTGATATTTCATACAGAGTGGTTACAGCTTCGCAAAAATGACAGCAGGTTATACTATAAGACAAGTTTCGCGGATAAGATCTTTAAAACTGTAGAATCTAAAAGAAATCAGAGAGGAAAGGTTGTAATGCCAACAAAGATACCAAAATTGAGAGATACCAAATATAAGATAAGTAACGAGAAATACAGAGATCTCATGAATTTAATGCAGTGGGTTCCTGAGGAGTATAGAGCCTTCTTGAAGAGCCTTTCACATGGAGGTAATGAGAAAAACTTTCCTGATGATGACTCAACTGCTCTAAAATAATGATATCTGTTTGCTAAGTTTATAGTTTGTCATAAAAATATTGTAAGTTATTGCTTGTGTAGTTTTCCTAGAACATCATAATCATTTTTTTACTATTAATATTAGTACTATGTAAATCCCAAAACAGGTTCTTAATAAAGAACCATAATAGCGTAAGTCCATATCTGCCTAATCAAACAATAATAATTATATCTCTCATATTTGGCCCTAAATGATCTTAACAGGCTATTATCAAAATCCCTGGAGGATAAAGAAATGGCAGTAGCAACTTTCGTAGATATTGAGGGAGCTTTTAGTAATGCTCAAACAAGATCTATAATTAACGCATTAGCAATAAAAGGGGTACCAGTAGTCCTATGTCAGTGGATAAAAGCCAGCCTAGAAGAAAGGGTAATAACATCATCTCTAGGCGAAGCTACATTGACAGCTAAAGCAGGCAGGGGCTGCCTCCAGGGAGGAGTACTATCACCCCTTCTCTGGTCAGTCCTAGTGGATGAACTTATAAAAAGGCTAATATCTGCAGATTTTTACTGCCTAGGGTATGCCGATGACCTGGCGATCGTCGTAAGAGGCAAGTTCGCAGGTACAATATCGGAGCGCACACAAACCGCTCTAAACATTGTCGACGAGTGGTGCAGAGAGGAGGAACTAACAGTAAACCCTCACAAAACCACAATAGTCAACTTTACAAAACAAAAAGTACCAACAGGACTAAAGTCACCAGTACTGAAAGGAGTGAAGATTCCATTCGCTCAAGAGGCCAAATACTTGGGAGTCATCTTTGACCACAGGTTAACATGGGATCAACACTTGCAAAAAGTCACCCAAAAGAGCACAACGTCCTTCAACTTATGTCGAAGGCTGTGTGGAAAAAATTGGGGATTACAACCAAAAATGTCCCTGTGGTTATATACCAGAGTCATAAGGCCGATGATAACCTACGGGTCGGTGGTTTGGTGGCCAAAGACTCGGCAAGCTGGAGCCATTCGACAGCTCAATGGTATTCAAAGGCAAGCATGCCTGAGTACCACGGGAGCTATGAGAACGACTCCAACAGCAGCTATAGAAGTCATGCTAAACCTAACACCACTACATATATTCATTCAAGGCGAAGCCAGGTCTGTCACATACAGACTGCACAAAGGTTCATCGCCCATAAGCAGTTTGCATGGACGCGACTACAGCGAGCTATATAAAGAGTTGGAGAACGACCAAATAATGGGAATGCCTTCAGACGAAATGCTCTCGAAGTATAGCTTTCAAAAGCAATATAAAGTAAGTATACCAGACAGGGAAGCGTGTACGGGAGGACCTCCTATTCATGCAGATCTCACCTGGTATACAGACGGCTCCAAAACCCATGAAGGTTCAGGAGTAGGTATATATAGTACCAAGACAAAGACAGGAATCTCACTGAGCTTAGGTAAATATGCGACAGTATTCCAGACAGAAATAGCAGCAATACATCACTGCGCAAAAGAAGTATTAAGACAGAAGGTAAATGGAAAAGCCATTGTCATATACTCAGACAGTCAAGCGACGTTAAAAGCACTCAGTTCCATGCAGGTACACTCAAAGCTTGTGTGGGACTGTTTGGAAGCCCTAACAGAGCTGGGTAGTCAAAAACGAATAACCTTAGCCTAGGTACCAGGCCACAGGGGACACAAAGGCAATGAAGAGGCTGATTTACTAGCCCGAGAAGGAGCTTCAAATGCTCTTATTGGCCCAGAACCCTTCTGTGGTGTAACAAAAACAACTATTAGAACATGCACAAAGCAGTGGATGTTTAAAAAATCTCAAGAGTGGTGGGAAAACTCACCAGGACAGAGACAGGCCAAAAAGTTCTTAAAGGGACCATCGACTAAACTCACCGAGCATCTATTAAGCCTTAATAGGAAAAATACTAGAATACTAGTAGGTCTATTAACAGGGCATTGTAGGCTCAACAAACATATGTTCAATATCGGTCTGACAGAAGAGGCCTTGTGCCGATTCTGTCAAGAAGAAGAGGAAACGGCAGAACACGTATTGTGCTTCTGCGAAGGTCTAGTAAGACCGAGATTCCTTACACTTGGAGAAGAAAAACCAAGGGCAACTAGCTATACCGGAGAACTACTTCCCAGTCTATGGAGTCTACTACAAAAGACCGCATTAGACAGGGTACTCTAAACAATGATTAAAGGATATCCACAATAGATCTGAAAAGGTCGAGGTGGGGGAGGCCACATGGCCCATAGTCCTAATTAAATCTAATCTAATCTCTCATAAAATAATTTACACAAAAATTATACCAAAATGGATAAGGTACGGTTCCTTTCAATGTTGTCATCTAGATGCTAATTTAAACACTAGCTTTGTAGCTTGGCGATGAAATTATTGTTTTTATTTTTATTGGTTTCCTAAAATATATGCTAAATGTGATTTACGTCTGTCTGGTTCTGAGTTACAGATATAACGAAGATCCCGATTCCTCAGATTTTGACCACCCTTAGTACAACTTAAATTGTAATTACACGTTTTATGAAATGAACAATAAACATGTTACTTTATATATTTTTTTAATTAGCTTTAGCATTACCCTTGGCCTTTCAAAAAATAATATATCTTACATGTTAGTAAAAGTTTATTGCTACTTTTTCTAGGTACGACTATGACATGAAACTACAGAAACCAAGAAGATATTTTTGGGCTAGTAATTTAGTGCCACTATGGGCAGGCAGCTTCGATGAAGACAAACGAGAGGAAAGAGGAGCGAGAACTGCAAAGTATTTACACAAAATTGGCATTGATCGTTACAGGGGAGGCATACCAATGTCGCTGTTGCCTACAGGACAACAGTGGGACTTTCCAAATGCTTGGTCACCTTATCAAAATTTGATTATTATAGGTAAATAGATTTATAGAATTGAAAGTAGTAAAGAAAAGGAAATAAAATACAAAATTCTAATGTGACCAATTTAAAATAAGAGAAAAAAAAAACATCTCAATTTTGAGAGTATAAATGTGCATGATATGATTGAAGGTTAAACAATAGTTGAGAAGTATAAATGGAAAATAATAAAGGACCAAGTATAGAGCCCTGTGGTACTCCTGACTGAAGATTTAAGAAATCTGAGCTGCAATCCCCCATGCAGACTTTTTGTTGCCTACCATTTAAATACCTACTCATTAGCTCTAGTGCGTTATGAGTAAATCCAATATACTTCAAAATACTTATCATTAAGTCGTGATTGATAGTATCAAACGCTCGGCTGAAATCTAATAATATCAGAATTGTACATTTTTGTCATCGGTAGCAGTTATTATATCATCGGTAACGTGCAGAAGAGCTGTAGTGCAGCTGTATCCTTTACGAAAGCCAGATTGAACAGTGGGCAACAAAGAAAAGCGTTCAGTATATTCTTTAATTTGGACCTCAACAGCCGTCTCGAAATTTTTTGAAAGTGTTGGTAAAATACTGATTCCTCTTAGATTTTTCATTTTGGTCGGGCTTTGTTTTTTAGGTAATACCCTCACAATCGCTCTCCCCCACATTGCTGGAAAAACGTTTTCTGTCAAGCAAAAATTTATTATATGGGTAATGTAAGGCACAATGTGAGGACAGCAAAGTCTAATAAGTTTTATGTTTATGTCGTCACATCCTCTTGCGTTTGTTTTAATTTCAGATATAACTTTATACACAAACAAATCATTTATTTCTATAAACTTGAAATTCTGATCAACTAATTTATTATTATTGTAAAATGCAAGTAAATTATCATCTGGTTTTTTATTTGGAATTGATTCTATAAAGAACTTATTTAACTCAGCAGGTTAATGTAAATTTTCAGGGATGCTATTATTTTTATCAGGGATAAATTTATTAGATTTTAGTATCTTTGTGTGTTCTTTGGAAGAAGTATTGTTAAATTGGTAAATAAAATATGCTTTCTTCGAGTCGAGTCCATCGAGTTCCCAGACCTCAGTCAGTCGAAGCAGTCGTTTATCTAGGTAAAAACACTATTATAAACACTTTGCACGATGAGTGACACTTGTTAGACACACGGGGTACCACTTGATTTACATCCACGGTCACAATTTGTCGTGAAGTGACTGTTTTAGCTCAAAACATCTGTTAACAATGATATTACTAGCCACATACAAATTATGTTATCTCTAATCCGAAAGATGTGCTATTATTCGTAATATTTATATTTAAATAATTTTTTTATTTATATTTGACAGATTTAAAACAAATTTAAAACTTAATTTCTCAAAACTTACTTAATGTGGCATGTAACCAACCTTATTACGCCAAGGTCTTCAATTATTTCAATAATAAATATATTTTTGAATCCGGGCCCGACTTTTCCGTCGAATATAACAGAGATAGCACCATTCCGTCTAGCTTGGTTCTCGACCGCCACATCAAAGACGCCGACACGGAGTTGTGGAGCTGTATTGTATAAGCTGTGCCTGACGTGCCAACTTTCTTTACTGCTTCACTAACAATCTTCAGCTGTTCTAATGTAAGATCTTCCCTAATAACAATATTGGTAGACTAACAGTTTTTTATTATTGTACACCATATTTTTATAATACAACGAGGAAAATCTAACCATGATTGCTCTGCTTTTATTTATTTCTTTATTATTCAGTCTATAACAAAATTCTATGCTAGACTCCTTAACATTAAGTTTCATTTTAGTTTCAAAAATTTCCAAAATAGTATTTAGGAGATTTTCATTTGACGATGATTCAGGAACGCCATAGATTCTGATATTTTTATTTCTGGTAACCTTCTCTTGCCTTTTTTGATTAATAACTAACATTTTTATTGTTTCCTTTGTTTTCGTAATTTATCGTTAATTCTTTGGTTTATACTTTCTAATTCACCTATTTTCTTATTAAATTTGTCTTCAATTACAGTTCTTATGTCATTTTAGTTCCCCCTTCCTACTCTAGAAACTTTTATAAGCATTCTTTGATATCATCTTTTGTTTGTGAGATATAGCCCATTGTAAGTTTTTAAATTGTCACACAGTATATATTAAACATCAGAATGTAAATTGGTCACATTTGAAAAAGAAGTTGTACTTCGAAACAATTTCGTGAACAATTTTTAATTAAATAATTTATATTTTTTAAAATAAAATTGTTTGTGAACATTTAGCAAGCTTGTTTTCTTATTTGAAAAAACAATTCTAAACAATTTTTTTTTCTGAAAACACGCCTTTTCTTTACTATTTCTCAAGTACTATAAAAAAATCTAATTATTTCTTCGGATGTGTCACTATTACCGAAATATTTAAAAGTTTTTATTTCTACTAATCCATAGACAAAAAAAATCCCCACAATTTTTTTTTACACTAATAACTCTATTTTAGGTTTAGATAAAAGCAAAGACCCATCTGCCCAAGAACTTGGCAAAGATCTGGCTCATAAATGGGTAAATTCCAATATCAAGGCTTTTCACGAGAACAAAGTCATGTTCGAAAAATACAATGCGGAAAGTAGCGGACATTTTGGCGGCGGCGGAGAATATCACATTCAAGCAGGATTTGGATGGAGCAACGGCTGCGTTCTAGAACTGATTCATATTTATTTTAGAACTAAAACAAGAAAATATCTTAATATGTAATATTAAATAATAATCAAAAACTATTTAATTTTATTAAAAAAAAGGATAATATCCGAATCGTAGTAGAATTTTATTTAAACGAATAAAAGTTATTTGGCTTTTTGGTACTTTATAAACAAACAAAAAATTTGTATTATTTTATCCTAATGTACTAAAATTGTTAGAGTACAACAGCGGGTTGCAACAACGATCGTTAAATATTCAATGACTCGTTAAACCCTTTTCTCTAATTAAAGGTCTAGTACGGGTTGCATTCTGCTGTTAATAAATAACGACGACGTGAACTGGCAACGTCGCCTCCTCTGTCTCATCTCATATCTCATTTACTTTGACAGATGTATCTTTATTGATTACAATTTTGAATGATTACATTTGTCTTCTATATGTTTTTCATATAAAATATCACATTTTGTATTTTTTAAATTATTTCATGGAAGTGACTATTTAACTGCCAATATAAATCTTATTTAGATTTGTCTTTGCATGGATACTTGTCATCGTCAGAAAACCATTTTCAATTATTGTACATACTACCTACTGGACTATCAGAAACAAACTTTGTGTTTAATCATAAATTAGTTTAGGCGAGGCAAGAGTTGTATAATATTATATCATAGTTTATTCCAATATAAATTACATTTATATACCCTAAAAAGAAATAGCTGTAGATATATTTGACAAATTTGATATTATGTGGTTAAACGCAGTAAACGCAATCATAAATAATAAATCTACTGTCATTGGCACAATGTTGTCAAAGGCACACTGTTGTCATTGACACACTATCACTGTCTTTCGTACACAAAATACGTTATTATTTGAACTTTGACCATAATTTATTTGAGTATCCTAGGTACAGGTATGGTAGACAGGTACTATTTTACATAATAGTCGTTTTCCTTTGACGTATGGTTCTGGTTATGGTTTATTTTATTTATTTTATTTATTTTATTTATTTTATTTATTTTATTTATTTTATTTATTTTATTTATTTTATTTATTTTATTTATTTTATTTATTTTATTTATTTTATTTATTTTATTTATTTTATTTATTTATTAAATACACTGCTCTACAGGCTAAATGCCTAGTTATAGAGCAGGAAAAAAATTGTAATTACAAAAGTAAATATAAATATAACATATTGCACAATAAGACATAATTTGGATATAAGATAAATTACACAACATAACAAAACTTACACAATATAACAAAAATAACATAATATGACAAAAAATTAAATAAATTAATGACTATACACAAGCAAATAGTACCGAAACAGCTTTACAATTTTTTGAGCTGCGAAAGCTTACAAGAAAATAAATCAATTCTACCTTGCAGGTTGTTGCAGTTTTCACACATAAAATACAACGGCGAGTTTTTTAATAAATTTGTCCGAGATAGCGGGAGATAAAACATTAAGTTGTTTCGAGATTCAGTTCTTGGCACTTTAAATACAAGTTGTTCTAATAACTCGGAACAATCAATTTGGTAGTTAATAAGTTTATAGAGGAATATTAACGAATGATTTTTTCGTCTACATTCTAAGCTTTGCATTTGAAATCTATTTAGAAGTAACGTGTGATTTATCCCAATTGGTGGATATGTTCCGTCTATCTTAAATGTCAAGAATTTTAGATATCGTCTTTGAACGTTTTCAAGAGCGCTTATGTGAATATCATAAAATGGTTTCCATATTATTGAAGCATATTCTAATTTTGATTTGACAAACGCATTGTACAACATATTCATGGTTTCGATAGAATTGAGGTCAACTGCATGCCTAATGATAAATCCCAAATTTCTGAATGATGCTTTTACCACGTCATTTAGATGTTCATTAAAAGTAAGTTTTCTATCGAACTTTACCCCAAGATCTATAACAAAATCAGGCCTATTTAATATAACACCATCCAAACAATAGTTATAGAGAATTGGAAAATCTTTTTTGGTATATGACACTATATTACATTTTTTTGAATTTAATGGAAGATTATTTTTTAAACACCAATTATTTATTTTATTAATATTACTTTGTAATTTAAGACAATCATTTAAGATATCTACCTGATAAAAAAATTTGACATCGTCTGCATAAATTAAATATTTTACGTTAACGTCATTAATAATGTCATTTACGAATAGTATAAATAAAAGCGGTCCCAGAATCGAGCCTTGAGGTACGCCAGAGGTTACTAAGATATCGACAGACTCAAAACCACGCACTTCAACAAACTGGGTTCTGTTTGTCAAGTATGATTGAAAAAAATTTATGACAGGCTTGGACAATCCAAACTTGCTAAGCTTTTGAAGTAATATTCTATGATCGAGTTTGTCGAAAGCCTTAGAAAAATCTGCATATATTACGTCTAGTTGACCGCCGCCATCAACTATTGCAGAACTGTATTGTGTAAATGAGAATAGATTTGTTATTGTTGACCTGTTCTTACAAAAACCATGTTGTTCGTCCACTATCTGATGTTTGACGTGTGGTATAATATTATCGTATAGTAAAATTTCAAAAACTTTGGCAAAATTACATATATAGTGATGGGTCGATAGTTCTCAATACAATTTTTTTTACCTTTTTTAAAAACAGGACAGATTCTTGACCTCTTCCATGCATTAGGAAATGTACCAGTACGCAATGACAAATTAAATATTTTATTTAAAGGAATAGCTAACGCATGGGAACAATCGCGAACCATGAAGGATGGTATATTATCAGGTCCCTTAGTAAATTTAGATTTTAACTTTAATATTGCCTTCGACACATCAGATTCTTTAAATTCAGCTATATGTACATGTAAATTATTTGATAAATCACTCTCAAAGTCAACATCAAAATTTGATGAATTACTGTAGGAATTTTTAAAGTAAGTAGCAAATCCATTTACAATATCCTGCATGTTTAAAAGATTTAAATCATCATAAGTCATAAATTCAGGTATTCCACCATCTTTCCGTTTAGAATTTACGTATAACCAAAAGTTCCCACTATTTCTTTTTATATTCTCTTGTAATGTTTTAACGTAGTCTTTATGTGCTTTCTCTACGTCCTTTTTAATTTTGGATCTTAGCCGTTTAAATTCTTCGAAGGCATTTAAATCATTATTTTGCTTAAACTTTTTTCGTGCTTTCTCTTTTCTTTTAATATCTCTAATAATAGGTCCATTGAACCATGTAGGGTATTTTCTTGCAGTTGGAACATATTTGGGAATGCATATATCCATCATACCATGTAGTTGTTTATAAAATAACTTACATGCAGTTTCAATATTATTCACATTATTGAGAAAAGACCAGTCACATGAAGCTATTAGTTGATATAACATCATATAATTAGCTTTACGAAAGTTATACTGTAAATTTTTATTTACTGGATTAGGTTTACTACGAGGATTAGATATTTGAAAATTAATATTCAAAGCAGGATGCGAGACATCTTCAGGAACCATCAAATCATATACCCTTTCAACAGTGCATGATTCATTACAGAAAACTAAGTCCAATAATCGATTGTTTATGTTAAATATATTATTATATTGTTTGAAATCGTGGAGATTTACGAAAGCATTTAATTCAACTAGCTGACCAGTGAGAGGTGCCATATTAGCATACTGGGGAACATTAAAGTCTCCTAAAACAAATACTTTCTCGTAATCAACAAAATTTAAGGTGGAGAGACAATCAAATAAGGCTTCATAATCAACAACTTTAAGACTTGGAGGAATGTAAACAAGTAGTATTAATATTTTGTAATAATTTAATGTAATCGTAGTGCCTAGAATATCAATAATTGGAATAATATCGCTAATAAATGTTAGATCTATTTCATTACTAATAAATTTTTTATTGACAGCTAGCAAAACACCTCCACCGTAATTTAATTTAACTCGAGAAGCAGATCTATCCTTTCTATATACATGATAATTATCGGAAAATATCTCACAGCTACGAAAAGATTCGTTTAACCAAGTCTCTGTCAATGCTACAAAATCAAAATCGGACTGAAGAGAAAACAAGTAAACGGTATTTATTTTAGTTCGAATTCCACGGACATTCTGATAATATAGATAGCAGGTCAAGTTTTTATTAAAAATATTAAATGAATTATTTTGCGGGTGTAGAGCTGTACCACCAATGGTTAATACATCCGACTGACTCATTTGCGATTGCTATGCTACATAAAGTGAGGATTTTAACTCATCTATATGACGTTGGTAAGAATTACAATGGGTGTCCCATGCAGCATGATTTACATTAATTTGAACCAGAGAATCCCGTTCCATCACCTTTACACAATTTATACATTTTAATTCATCAACTGAAGCCTTACATTCTTTTACAGCATGTTTTTCTGCACACCTTGGACAATATATAGTACTACTAGGACAATTTTTTGAAAAATGATTAAAACCATTACATTTATAACACCTCTTAACAGATACACAATCATAAACAGAGCAGACATCAAAGCCAATAAATAGCTTACCTTCACCATTCGTCATGATATTATTATATGATGCAACATCAACCTGCAAAGTTGCTTGATAAATTTTTCTATTCTTCTTAGTGCAAGATATATCTAAAACTTTACATTCAATAGAATTAGAACAAAATACAGATTTATTTTGATTTAAAACGTAATGTTCAATTTTTTCACTATCTAATTCAGCCGACATTCCTACAACTCTTATTTTTGGTTTTATTCCAACCACATCCTTGATTTCATATTTTTCCATTAGATTAGAACCAGCAAGATTTTTTAATGTGGAAACTCCAGATTCAGAAGAGCAACCAATAACTAATCCCCCATCTCTAATATTCTTAACACTGGAGATCTGAATATTGGAGCCTACCGGATCAATCGCATTTAAAATATCTGCTTTGGTGACAGAATTATTTTGAGAAGAATCTTTCGGCTTGATTATAATTGCAGAGCTACTTTTAAGTTTCGTGGAGTACAAATTATTATTTCCGGTACTGGATACAGAGGTCGCAGTAGTATTAGAGCATACACTAGGATTCACGTTAATTTCAGTAATTTTTTGAACAGCAGCCATTGATATTTTCTCCTTCAGATCTTCTTGTAAGTCTTCTAATCTCTTT